CATCCAGTTGAATAACATTCATCGATGAAGTCTCAGTTGGATCTCACGCCTCTCATTTTATCTTAGAACTTACTCTCGACCACGACTATCAGACACACAGAAACCTGTGATCCGCAAATTCGTGTGACAAAATAAAAGAAATGGTGAAAAGGATGATAGGGACGTTGCTGGCAGTTTGCAGTTTATTGATTATCCTACCATCTTGATATTAAATAGAGCATACGCGCACAAGTAGGTCCTACAGAACCCGCTTTAGTTAGGATTTTGCATGCGGCAGCAAGTGTGAAAAAGAGTTTAATGATGAGGAGGGTTCAAAAGTCTTTAAAATTACGTGTTATTATTTTATTCTGCTAATCTAATCCCCTTACAATTGGCCAAGTCTGAGGTTCTGGTATATCAAGCCAACACATTTATTCCAGGTGAACGTTGGCGGCAAAGGCAAGAGGGACTGGAATAACCATTTCTGGCTCATTCAGCGTCAGAAGTCAGTCAGATCGAACTCCGGGTGGTGCAAAATCCGAGCCCTGAATCAGCGATCTGTTGGCCTGAAGAGAATATGCGAGTTTCGGGAAGTAGATCAGAAGAGGAGGATGCGACCACTTGAACAAGCGTTTTTATTTTCCTGACGTTTTGAATTCCGTCGGGAGTCCTTAATCATAGGTAATGGTAGGTTAGTCTGAGTCATGCGCAGAGAAGGATGAAACATGCACAGCTTGCACGGTCTTTACAGTTATTAGCGGTCATCCGCGTGAACCGCAAGCTGCTCGAATCGTGGTTATCGGGCTTCCAGCCCATCAACAAGCGCGACGATTTAGCGTTCCCATACTTTGTGCTGAGAAATTGTCTGAGTAAAAGAATCAGTCGCGTGTGTAGGGCCGGGTCCGGTGACAACTCAGACAACAGGGAGCACAATTGTTGCGCAATAATCAAGCCTGCATCCGACACGGACAAGGAAATCGCGGCAATTAATGAGTCGAACCCGAAGTGTCAAGCGATCACCGCACCAATTAAGACCCAAGCGGTCCTGCCAGCGATCGGTGAGCCTTCGTCAGTAACTCCGTCATTTCCATAAAAACATCTTTTGATGGAGCACTTTATGAAGAGAAAATAGTCTTACATTTTTACTTCTAGCATTATATTTCATGCTTTACTTGCTTCTTACTGCCAGATTTAAACACGCTCTATAAATATCCATGCTTCTAGCTAAGCTCTAAATTCTGTCTGTATAATTTAACATTTTCTCCTGTATTTTCCCCGAATGTTCTAAAGCAGAAATAAGCTTTTCTTTCTATTTTAAACTTTCAATTGCATGTTTCTACTGGTTCTAACTGCTAGATGTAACAATATTAAAGGGATTTAAAAAATCAGGCCATCATTCGTTATGCGTCTAGCCTAATGCTAAATTCTGTCTGTCTGGCTTCTTTTCTAATTTTCCCCGAACACCGTGGATATACTGTCAGGCGGCAGATGGCAAGGAAAACTTCGAGGAAAAAATTTTGCTTCAACCCTGCCAGGGAACTTACCCACCTTGTGCATTTGGCTAGCAATCCTGCATACCCTCGGATATTTCTTGCATTGACCGCCAAACAGATTTTGCATTCAAGGTGATTTCAATCTGTGCGCTCCGCGCACAGAATTTTTCAGGGTACCTACGATGTTTGTGTATTTTCATAATATATTCCGACAACGTTTAAAGCGAATTGCCGCTCTGTCTTCGCATTTTTCAAGCGTGTTTGTGGCTGGCGTAAGTGAAATGTCAGAAGTGCGCTAGAGTGCCAGATG